CCCGAGTTGCTTCTGTTCCTCCCGCCTGGGCAGTTAAAGTCGATGCTCCCTGACTCGGTCTTTTATCTCTCCTATCCTAAGTACTCCCAGGTTGAGCCCAGCTCTGCTGGTCATGATCTGACTCTTATTTTGTCCCCTTTCCTGAGCTCTAGTCTCCAATTTCAAACTTCTTGCGGCTGGTTCCGCCTCTGGGCCCCGCAGACATCTTCTACTTATCAAATGGAACTGAATTGTGTTTCTGCATGTCTACTTTTTTATGCTGGCGAATGACATTTTCTTTCTGGAATGCCTCATGCCTTTGCTTTTCTGCCTGGGAAATCACTATCGATCTTTTAAGTCCTTCTTAAATGTCACCATCTCTTTGCTGCCCTCTGAGTCATCAGGACGAAGTAGCCACACTCTCCTCTGTTCCCGTGGCACGGGGACCCTCCTGCCATCGTCGGCCCTTAGGGGTCTGCCATCATTTGTCTGCCTTCCTTTTTTTTTGAGACAGAGTCTTGCTCTGTCACCCAGGCTGGAGTGCAGTGGCCCGATCTCGGCTCCCTGCAACCTCTGTCTTCCGGGTTCAAGTGATTCTCCTGCCTCAGCCTTCCGAGTAGCTGGGATTACAGGTGTGCACCACCATGCCCAGCTAATTTTTAAATTTTTAGTAGAGACTGGGTTTCATCATGTTGGCCAGGCTGGTCTCAAACTCCTGACCTCAGGTGATCTGCCCGCTTCGGCCTTCCAAAGTGCTGGGATTACCGTCGTGAGCCACCGTGCCTGGCCTGTCTGCCTGTCTTATTCTAGAGCAAGGGCAGGCTTGCTTTGATGGAATACACACGCAGACTGGGAGCTAGCTTTGTGTTCGCTAGCTTACTAGCACTCCAGACATGCTTGTGGATGAATCCATGAGCAGTCAAAGCAAACTCCTTCCTGACTGGCAGGAAAACAGTCACTGTGAAGCACAGTGTGCCCCACCTGGGGAGGCAGAGCAGAGATGGCTTTTCATCCCAATGGCAGGAGCTTCTGCAGGAAGCAGGAACAGAGCACTCCTGCAGAGGCCACTCACTGTAAGAACGGGCAGAGCAGGGTGTGTTGTTTGTGTCTGACCTCAAGGAAGAACTACAGAGAATGAATGCTGTGCTCCAAAACTTGGCGGTCGAAATTATTTGCTTCAGCTATGATAAAAAGTTTGCCTGCAGCTGGTCAGTGCCCTGCTGTCTTCACCTCTGAAACATCCCAGGAGCACTCGAAACTGGTTCTGTTCTGGGAGATTACTCAAGATAGTGTCTCCCTAAGCCTGGGAAAACACGAGGGCTCAATTAAGTGAAACACTGATAGATAAGTTAAGTATGTAAAGGAAAAACTAAGAGCTTTATGTCAATGATTAAGTATTTCTGTTTCTTTAAAGCTTGCCCCCGTATTATGCAAATACATTACAGCTAAATGTTGGCTACGTAACATTGTTAGAGGATGTGGTTAATGGCAAAACAAATCCCCAAAGAAAAAAAGTTGAAAAGCTGATTCATCTTAAAAATATTGCAGATGACTTAAAATATTTAAGGTTCATTTTGGACTTTTTGACAAGTAAAGATCCAAATATGAGCAAATAAAACTATTAAGGCTCTTTCGGTATGGAATGACAAAAAGTGAAAAAGGGTAAGACCACCAGGTTGTTAAAATCATGAAAAGCTTAGATTGGGCAAAGGTTCAGTCTGGCGGCCACAATGAAGGAATATTCCCGAAGACAAGAAGGGAGTCAGTGTCAGGGCCAATAAAAAATGCTTAGATGTGTTGAGTAAAATAATGTTTTATAGAGTGCATTACTATAAATACATATAAGAAGGCCAAATAGGGGATTCCAAGTTATGTCTGGGTGGCATTACTGAATTTTGTGAGAAGAGACAGAATACTGTGCTGGGTGAACCATCACTTCTATAGCTTGCATGGCATTTCTCAAGTATGAATGCAGTTCCCTCAAGTTTCTGGGGTGTCGCAGAAAGATGCATATGTTTTGAAATATATTAGGAGATTGAAAAGCTCCTGATGAGTGGTCATTTTTATAAGCATAGAACCTCGTTTTAAATCTGAAGCGCTTTCAGCATGGATGGGTGAGAAGCATGGGATTAAGTAGGGACCTCTGTCCTAGTATTATTTTCTCTGTTGAATTCATCCTTACCAGATGCTCAACTCTTTATGTGCACACATCTGCCTTTTAGGAAGGATCTCCAGGAATCCTGTGGGGAGAGGCTAGTGCTGGGGGAAGACAGAGGAATGCCTGGAGAGGACAGAAGTGAGGCAGGTCCAGGCAGAGGGGGTTGCAGGAAGAAGATGCAGTGTCCGGTGTGAAGGAGAGCTAGCCACAAGAGCAGAAGCCCTGCCCACTGACAGTCGCTCTGGACCAGGCTTCTGTTCTGTGGGTAGGCTGTTTATTTCAGGGGCTGATACTTTTTAGACTCAGTTTTTTTTCTTTCTCTCCTTCTTCTGATTGGAAGAAGTTTAATTCCATGTTCATGTCCAATTCTTGCATTCAAGCTTATAATTTATCATTAAAAAACAACGACCACAACGAATTAGGCAAGGCGTATGGAAGGGACCCCAGGCAGACATTGCAGCAGGGCAGCGTAGGGCAGGGAAGGGACACCACATTTGGCGAGGCCTTCTGTGTGCCCAGCGGCATGTGGCCACCTGCCAGTGTGCATCGCGTGCAGCAACTGTGTCAAGTGCACTCCTGCATGAACCTATCAGATGCTGGAAAATCTTGTCAAGTAGAACTTTCTCTATCCCCATTCTATAGATGAATGAACACTGCTAGGAGTTGAGTTACTTGTTCACGGTCACAAAACTGAGATGGGCCGAGTTGGCCGTCACCTGTGTGTTATCTACTGCACTCAGGCTAGAAAAGGCATTCTAATCAATTAGGACCTGCGGACTACTCTCAAATATCTCATTCATAGTGAAATCCCTGGTGAAATTTAGAAGGAGATTGGACATAGGCTCTGAAGGAACATTGGCTCAGCCGCCTTCAGGAAGGTCAGTCTATGTAAGCCAGTTGAAGAATATGCTATGAACCATACACCAGTCCAACAAAGGGCCATGGTGTGACTGTGAGGGGATGCTGGCTCCGGCCTCAGCAGCTCAGTCTGGGCTTGGCTTTGTGGCTGGGTGTGTTCTGTGATCAGGGAAGTCTGCAGCCAAGAAATCCTCTGGGCCTTTCTAGACATCTCAGCATCCTTTTAGACAGATGGGGCACTGGCTTTGTTTTAAGCTAAACATTTACTTTGATTGCTTTCACTGATAGCATAGGACTTCTATTTTATCTTGGCTGTTCTAAGAATGTCTGGAATGGTCAGTAGAATTCATTTATTCAAACAATGTGGTATGCATGTCCTCTGTGTGCCAAGCACTGGGTTAGAGTCAAATGTGAGCAGTGGGTATTCCAGATCAGCACTGTCTTGTAGAACCACCTATGATGATAGAAAAACTCTGTATCTGCACTGTCCCATACAGTAGTAACTAGCCGTGTGCAGCTAGGATGGCCAAGGGGCTGAACTTTAACAAACTTTAATGAATATAAATGTAAATCGCCACGTGTGTCCAGGGGCTACCCTACTGGACAGCACAGGCCTGGATTAATCTTGGGTTGTATTTTGAAAAGTTGCAAACTCAAAAAATGTTACATATACTGGAAACATAATGTATAATTGTTAAAATTTTAGTAAAATTATATATTATACACTGATATGTGGTTGTAATAAAGGTAAATAGAATTTCTATGTATTGATTTATTCAGACATTTAGGTGGTGTCTTCTATGTGACAGGCACTGTGCTAGATTCTGTGAGAATGCAAAAATGATTTGTAAGACAGTTCATGTTTTTAAGAAGAAGCTCACAGCTTTGTAGATAAGTGACTACACTCACACATGTACACTTACACACCCACGCATATGAATACCAGGTGAACAACTGCCTAATGCCCTTAGGTAAGTATGCTTCACAACCATCAGATCACTGACAGTAGTCATTAGGTCCAGAGGACACACGTGCATTTCTTTTTAAGGACAAAAAGTTGATCTCATGGAAGTAAAAAGTAGAACAGAAGACACTAGAGGCTGGGAAGAGTAGAAGGATAGGTAAGGTAGGGAGACATTTGTTAAAGGATATAAAATTACACTTACATGGAAGGAATAAGTTCTAGTGTTCTGTAGCACTGTAGGATGACTGTAGTTAACCATAATATATTAAATTGTTTCAAATAGCTAGAAGGATACTGAATGTTCCCAAACAAAGAAATGATAAGTATTTGAGACAATGGATATGCTAATTACCCTGGCCTGAGTACTGTAGCTTCTATGTATCCAAACATCCCTATGTACCCCATAAATAGGTACAATTATTATATGTCAAATTAAAAAATACTTAAAAAATCAAGAGGGGGATAAAAAAGAATAAGGAAACCTTTCCCAGAAGTCCCCCAGCTGACTTCCTTTCATATTTCTTTGCATTTCTACGCATCTCCATGCCTAAACCTATCCCAGACAAGAGGAATGGAATTGTCATGACTGGCTTAGGCCAGTCAGGATTTAGCTCATCTTTTATGGATGGATACCTGAACAAAAATCAGGGTTCTGTTAGCAAGGAACAGGGGAGAGTTGCAAAGGCAGTCACTGGCCCTCTGAAAATTTACCCATCCTCCAAATCAGAAGGAGCCTCTCCATTCACGGCACCCCATTCATCCCTCTATGACAGCACTCACAGAAGACAGTGTGTTAATGTGTTTGCCCAAGGGCCTGATTTCCTGTTAAGGATTGTGTAACCACAACGCACTCTTCTCTGTTAAACTGAGAGCTCATTGATGGGGTAGGGCACGTCTCATTCATCTTTGAAAACATGGCACCCAGCGTAGTAGTTCCTGGCATATCCAGAGCTCGATAAATATTTGTTAGATTTAATATACATTTGTTCAAGAGCAACTCAATTAATATGTTCTTTCTTCATTTGTTTTTCAAAGACTACACCTGTTGGTCTGGATTGCAGCTGGAATTGGAAGGGAAATGCATTTCCATTGAAGGAAGAAGTATGAGAGTGAGCAGGCAGGTGTCAGCAGAGCTCAAGAGAATAACGTCAAGTGGACGATGACTTACGGGCAGGAGGAGGCAGATCAGCTAGGCAGATGTGCAGAAGTTAAGTGTGGTTTCATGCAGAAACTTCCAAGTGGATTCAAGAGCCAAAGACTTCAAGAAGTTGGTGTAATTGTCACTTGGAATGTGTTTGTATTAATTCAGGTAGAATATATTAATAAACAATATTCTTATCAAGAATCTTCCATTTACAGCCCTTATTTTTGCCCTTTCTTTTCTGCCTGGCTGTTTAACTCCTGGATGTCTGATTTAACTACATCTGCAGCTTCTCACTGATATGTTTACGGGGATCAGATGCCTATATTCTGATTGCTTTTCCTGTCTCTGGGAATTAGATGTAATCCATGTACACATTTGCTCTGAGTTAGATCTTAGAAAGCAATGGACCTGGGCCTCATTATCTCAGCTCTCCACAGAAAAGCATCTAACAAATTGTAATTTAATGTTACATCAGCTTTGTGAAGGGAAGCTGACAAAGAAATGTGCTTTTGAAGAACAAACCTGGGTATTTTGCAAAAGCACGGTGGAAGACTTTATCCACCATATTACTTAAAGCCCTTTTCATAGTAACCTGCAGGGCAGAAAAAAATGTTTGTTTCTCCAAATTAACTTTTAATTGACCTATCAATGTCAAGCATATCCCACACCTACTGTCACCGGGGACTCAGGACTGGGTTTTGCCCCAGTGGTAGCATCTAACTGATCCTGGTGCCTGGTGGTATCCATTTATTTGCTCCTTTCAACTGATTTTGATTCTGTTTTTATGATTTAATTTTCTGTTTTATATTGTGGTTAATTTTCTGAGTTGCCTCAAATGTTTATGTTTGCATGTATTTTTTTTCCTACTTACCTATACCCATCTACCTCCCATCTACCCACCCACTTACCTACTTGTGTTCCTGGCTATGTATATGGTGCATACTCTCTTCTCTAAGAAGCCCAGGCTTCTTTAAAGTATCTGCATTTTCTTTTCCTTTTTCTTCTTTGACCAGATCATACCTACCAATAATATGGAGGATTCAGAGAGGAGTTCCGGAGACGTGGGTCTGATTCCAGCTTTGCCTCCTGCTAAATATCTAATCCTGGGCAAGTCATGTAGCCTCTGGGTGTTCCAGTCGGGCCACCTTTAAAATGGGAATAATTCTGTCTACTTCACTTATCTCATGGAGCCAGGTGAGGACATTCACATTTTGGCATATAATGTAATAAGGTTGTAGATGAAGCGTTTATTAGGATAATGTCTTGGCTAATAGGTTGGGCAGACCAGTTGACATCCTCAGGGTATCATTGGAAGAACCCGAAGGTCTTATCCAAGTGTGTTTCCCACCAATAATTCTCACATTTCCACCTTTGGATCTTTTGTTAAGGATCCTGTGGGAAACTAGATATCATAGGTTATTAACCCCATGAAGTCACGTTTCTATTTCAATCTACTTATTTCACTTTTTTGTTAAAACTTCTGAAGCAAATGAATTTCTTATCGAATTGATTTTAGACTGCTATTAGCTCAGATTCACTTCGTGAGTTAGAATGCCTCTTAGAAATATAACACCCAGGGAAAAGCTTCCGGGTGAGTCTTTCTTTTTTGATAGCAGTTGGCTAATCCCCATGAACATGGACTTCATCTTCTTTAGATGCTTTAGGACATGTGGCTATGCAGTTAGGGAACTGCGATCTGAGGCAGGGGAGTGTAGGAAAAGTAAGTGATCGTGGGGAGTGGAGTCGCAAGACAGGGTGGGGGAAGGATGGTTCTGGAGCACTTCGTGTTCCATCCCAGCCCGATGAGGCCCAGGAGAACTTTCTCCAGCCGAGGAGGCCCAGGTGAACTTTCTCCATGTGGGGAGCTGTCGAGAACTTGAGCTTCCAGCATAAACACAGGCTGAACCTGGCTTTGGGGAATGTGGGCCTCCAGCCCATTTACAAAATATCACCCTTTTTGTATGGCTTGGAGGAGACTCAGGAGTGACTTATGAATACCACGGAGCCCTGATGTAGCCATTGGCAGTTCCCAAGCAGGAAGCCAGTCCCTCCATGTCTTCCCCAAATTCTCCCAACCACATCCCACCTCACCTCCTGGCTGGGACATCTTTTACTGTGATCATTTTACTGGTGAGAAAAATGGGGTGCTAGAAAAGTTACCTGACTTTGCTGAAATTCACACACTAGTTAACGGGGGGGCTGGTGCTGGAGCCAATGTTCGGCCTCATAAACTCCTACGAAATGTGCTGAGACTGGCCACTCTTTTCTGCAGGCCGTCCTCAGGGTAGCTCATGTAGCTGATGACCTTGAGAAATGAGGTAATGTCTTCCCTCATCCCCAAAGAGCAGACTTTTTTACTGTTTGCTATAAAAGCAGTGGATTCCCCAAACTCAGTGTTCCTCGGCTGTGACACACACCCCCTTTGTGTGTGTATGAATTGATCTGAGCCAGTTGGGTCATTTCTGTGGAACTCAAGGGCAAGTGTAACTGATGAAATATGCTTGTGTTCATCTTGCTTGCTACGTTACCAGTCCTGTATTTCAGATCCAGAAGTCTCATGTCTTCTGCCAGCATCTGTGAAACAGGCTAACACTGTCTTATAAGTTGGGTAAAATAAAATCTAAGACCTGACCCCCAGCTCCCTGAGTCCTGGCTGGAGCTTTCCCATAGCACTCAGCTTATGTAACCCAGTCCAAGAGGAAGAAATGACGGTGGCTTCGTTAGATTTGACCCAAATTTCTTTTTTTCTTTCTTTCTTTCTTTTTTTTTATACTTTTCTGGGTCCGGGCTGCTGTTACCAGGCCTTTGGTAGATGTGGATAACACGTAGGTGACTGGCTTGCTGGTAAGCAGAGATCCCTGGAAACCAGCCCAGGCCAGGCCAGGGCAGGAGCAAAAAGGAAGAGCAAGAGTGGAGAGGGAAAAGGACACTTTGCAAAGACATTTTAATGCCCCGTCACCATCTTACATACCTGTCACGTCACGAAAAAAAGGAATAAGGGTGGAGAAAATGTTTTGCTAAAGGCATCTGTGGCCTGGGGACACAGATCTATGAAATGGGGTAGCATGATGAAGCAGGAGGGAAGGCTGGGCAAGTGGGGAGCGGGGCAGCACCTTGTGAGAGGGGAGGGCCACTGGGAGGGCAGCAATGGGAAAGATGGTGCCGTGTGGGCCAGGGTAGAAGAGGGGAACCAGGACAGGACGTCGCTGTGATCTTGCCTTCGTGATATTCAAGTTGCTTTTAACCTGCTGACTTGTTTCTTGCAAGAATCCTAAAGAAATCTTAGACAGTGAAGCGAGATCTAACCATGAGTGAGTGTCATGGCCTTTTCACACTGGACAATCTCCTCCCACATTCGCCCCATAGAGGGGGAGGCCCACTCCAGCCAAGACTTGTCAACCAGAAACCTGAAACCATAGCAGGTGCTTCTTAAAGTAACCTTCCCTTCATTGATGGAAGCAGATAGGCCTCTGTCATACAACTTTTAATTGCTTGTCAAATATTTGACTAAAATTGAGTAGTTTTCCTTCAGGGAAAGTTAGTACTCTTAAGTCATTAGCAAATGAGAAGTTGGTAAAAAAAAAAAATTGGCCAAAGCACTCTGTGTGTGTACACAGTGGCGAATGGTCAATACATAACAATTTTCTGCACTGCTAGAGATTCTGTTTAATGTTTAATTTAAAAAATGACCACTTATATGAAGTATCTAAAGCAGTCAAATTCATAGAGACAGAAAATAGAATGATGGTTGCCAGGGGCAGCGGGGAGAGGGAAGGGGTGAGCTGTTGTCTGATGGGTGTAGAGTTTCAGTTTTGTGAGATGAAAAGGTTCCAGAGATCTGTTGCATAACAACGTGAATATACTTAACACTACTGAACTGTATACTTAAAAATGGTTACAATACTAATTTTATGTTATGTGTATTTTAGTCACACGTAAAAAAATTTTAGAGGAATCCATGTGGAAAGTGAACACAGTATTGATTTTTATAGTTTTAACTTCCCTGACTGATCCAAATTAAAATGTTCATGCTATGGGAAAGGGCAAAAGTTAGAAAGGAAAGAATTTCCCTTTTATTGAATTTTAGTCAACTCCTTAGACAAAGAATTGGAGATATATATGGATATATATATTTGCTCACACATGTAAATAATTTGTTTCTGTTTTTGTTTTTTTGAGACAGAGTCTCCCTCTGTTGCCCAGGCTGTAGTGCAGTGGTGTGATCTCAGCTCACTGCAAACTCCACCTCCCAGGTTCAATTGATTCTCCTGCCTCAGCCTCCTGAGTGGCTGGGATTACAGATACCTGCCACCACACCTGACTAATTTTTGTATTTTTAGTAGAGATGGGATTTCACTACGTTGGCCAGACTGGTCTCCAACTCCTGACCTCAGGTTATCTGCCTGCCTCGGCCTCCCAAAGTGCTGGGATTATAGGCATGAGCCACTGTGTTGGGTCATGTAAAGAATTTGAATACACTTCTTCACATTTCAGTAGAGTTCTCTGCTTTTTTTTTGTGCAAAAGAAAATCATTTCAATACTTGTTAACTTTGCAGCCATTGTAAAAGATCACTAGTGAAAGATACTTCTGGGTATATATCCAAAAGAATTGAAATCAGTATCCTAAAGAGATAGTTGAACACCTGTTTTCATAGCAGAATTTTTTACAATAGCCAAAAAGTAGAAGCAATCCAAGTGTCCACTGACAGATGACTGGATCTACTCACACATGGTGAATTACATATTCACACAATGGAATATTATTCAGTCTTAAAAAGGGGGGCAATTCTGACCCATGCTACAACATGAACGGACCTCGATGACATTATGCTAAGTGAAATAAGCTGGCTGCAAAGCAAAAGACAAATGCCGTATGATTCCACCCATATAAGGTATCTGGAGCAGTCAAATTCCTAGAAACAGAAAGTAGAAGGGTGGTTGCCGGGGCTTCCAGGGGCTGTGCCGGCGGGTGGGAGTTCATGTTTAATGGATACTGGGTTTTTGTTTTGCAAGATGAAAAGAGTTCTGGAGGTGGATGGTGGCAATGGTTGCACAGCAATGCAAATGTACTTGATGCCACTGCACCGCCCACTTAAAAATGGTTACATTTTTTGTCATGTGTATGTTACCACAATTAATCCAGGCTATAAAAATACTGTTAAAGAAAAGAGCGCTAGTTAAGGAAGCAACTCATTACTTTGCCATCTGGGTCATTCATTTTAAGAGCCGCTGGCCAAGCCATGAGCTGGGCTCGCAGGACTGATAAGAGCAGTCTGCATAACTCACTCTGGTGCTCTGCATCCAAAACCAACAGGGCCTAAATCTCATTGAAACCCATAAGTCCTGCCTCGCTCTCACTCTCTTCTTTCTGACACAGGGGTCCTCTTGTCTGGAGCTGGAAAGCAGTTGAAACACACAGGACCTGCCCCTGCCCGTTTGGTGTTCTTCCCACATTCTGCAGCATTTGCAGTTCCCGTCATGCATTTCTGTGTGCATGAGGAAGATTTTCCAACATCAAAGTTATTTCTGCCTTTCATCGTGAAAGAAAGTCTTTGATTCAACCACAGTCATCTCTGAATGAGGTAATTCCTGCAGATGTTTCACTTGTAACAATTGGCAATTCCTAAGCAAGACCACCGCCATATTGATTGAAGATGTCCACTTGGTTGGCCCTTCCAGCCTCACCAGGGCGAACGTAACTGGAGGCTGGCCTTCTCCCACCCCAGCAAGCCGTGTGCACAGGCGACTGTGCAGTGGGAAAGCTGTGCCATGACAACGCGTACTTCCTCCACAACCACAGGCTCATGTGTTGTTTTGTAAGCAACATTTCTGCTGAGAAAAAAGCAGCTGGGCACTCAAGACTCCTGGCAAAACCATAATGGTGGCAAACAAAACTCATATTGCAAGAAGAGCTGTGTTCTGTTCCCCTGATCAGCATTAGCCTGTAGGTATTTAGTTGAATTAAATGAAGGAAATGATGAAATTAATCCATGTTAAAAAGCAATGAATAGTGGATTCATTAATCCAGAGAAGAGGTGGAAGGCTGCATCACAAAAACAAAGCTCGAAGCCAAGGCTCTCGCAGCCACACCCCTGGGGTGGTTAAAACCGCAACTTCTTTGTTAATTCTCAATGAATAATTAACCGGAGGTAGAAGTATTTTTGAGTTTTAGGAGCTCTGTCTCTGTCTCTGCATTGACTGTTGAATCGGAGGCCTCAACAGTTGGTAGTTTTGGTTCATCCTGATTCTAGACCTCTCTTCTGTTCTCACTGCTTCAAGCTCCAAGCTGGCTCAAGCCTTTTCTTCCTCCTGCTGAATCCTAGGGGGAAATTCTAGAATTATCATCATCATCCCCCTTTACAGATAAGAAAGTAGAAAGTTGAACAAGCGATTTTCTCAAAGTCACATACTGAGAAAGAGGTAGGATCCGTGAAGGTGGATTCAGTGGATTAAGTGAATTAAGTGGATGAACAGCCTGGCCCTTACCCTGGCTGTTGGATTGCCTTATGTTACTGGGATATTTGCTGCCCGTTTCTTCCGGCTTCAGTCAACAGGGGCCCTGCCGTTGTCAGCTCCCAGCATAGGAGGCCTTCTGCTGCTCATCCTGAACTCAGAGTCCTGTGGGCACAGTGAGACCTGCGGGCCATGAAAGGAGAGCAGAGAGCAGAGTGGCCACCGGCCTTGGAGGATCAGAGCGGTGATCTGGATGTGTTGGGATGATGTCCTGGTTGGGTTTTCTAGTCCATTCTGCCTGGAGTGTGACAGAATTCCTGCTGGCAAAACCCCAGTCCTCCCCTTGGGCAGGACATTCTGCCATTCCCATGTACGGCACGGTGGGTTCCTGACACATATCTGAGGTTGTTTTAATGGGGATAAAGCTTTTCCTTCCACTGGTTGAAAATGCTGGGGAGAAGTACGTCCACCTTAATGCTAGCCATGCCAAGGTGTGACCGCACCTGTGCAAATCCTTCGGGGAATGAGAGATCGGGTCAGAAGGGAAGAGAAAACCTTGGGTTTGGGTCACAGAGGGAAAAAGAAGACACGGGAGAGGGGTCAGGGTGTTACCCTGTGTCTGTCTCTCAGTTCTGGACAAGCTGGGCTGAAGTACACATGGGCACAGGGACATCAGCTGGGTCATGGGATCTGGGGGAGACTGCCTGCCTCAGGAAAGAGGTGAGACCCTGGCAATGCCTACCACAGGTGTTATTATATAACAGGGTTGGGGGATGGTCTAAGTGGTTTTCCCTCAGTTGAGGTGGGAAGAGAAGTGACTGGGTGTGATTTTATGCCACTGATATACAGAGATGATCCGCGCTCCGGGGCACTTTAAAGGCAGCATTTTAAGAAGCGTTGTGGGTGACGTCACAGCTAGGAATGGGTCTTGTCCCTCACAGTGAGGTGAGGACTGGCTTTAAGCTCCTCCAGGCTGCCCCACAACATGTGAAATTCTGCGTGCTTGGTGTTGGTGAAAGAAGCGTCCACTCTTGGGACAAGAGCATCCTCATCAGAAGTCCAGGTTCTGGAGCCAGCTCCCAGGGTTTTCATCAGGCCCCGCCGCTGGCCAGTTGGGTGGCCTCATGCAAGTTACTAAATCTCTCTAAACAGGGTCAGTGACACGATTTGTGAGGCCCAGCACAAAATGGAAATGTGAGACCCCTTTCCAAAAATTAGGAAGAGGGCGTGCAGCTGAGCGCTTGGCACTGTGTTAGTGCCTAGGTTGCTGCCCGTGGAGCTAGCCCGGTCTTAATCTCAAGTGGATTGAAATTGTGTGGACCCAACGCGTTATTACTGAAAAGGAGCTTAGAATGCACATTAGTGTTACTCAGAGGCGGGACACACACGTTCAGAGAAGAGTCCTTTACTGGGGTCAGGCAACTGGGGTTTAGCCCTGCTGTCCCATGAATGTATAGGGCCTCAGGTAAGTCCCTTCAAGCCTTTAGGGTCTCTGCTTATGGGAAGGACAGGAAAGGCTTCCCTACCTCCCTCAGGGGCAGAGAGAACTCACATTCTCTGATGGGACCAGCAACTCACCCCAGTACAATGGGACTCCCAGGGTCTCCCTCTCTAAGAAGCAAACCAGGCTGGCTGGTCACTGCATTCACTGGGCTTTGGTCAGGCTTTTTCTGGGCAACCTACGCGCCTCCTCTCATCTCACTTAATCTGTACCACAGCGCTATGTGTGAGACAGATGGCATCACCCTCCTGTGACAGATGTGAAATCTGAGTTTTGAGAGGCTACCTGTGGCTGGGGTTAGAACTGGGGCTGGACTGCTCTCATCTCCAAAGCCTGTGCTTTCGTCTGCATCAGTGATCCTTAAATGTTCACATCAAAAAAATGGAGTGATCCTCAATTTGTTCACATCAAAATTAGCGGGAGAGGTTAGAACCCAGAGGTTCTGATTCAGCAGTTTGGGGAGGGGGCCCGAGAACGCGCATCTCTACAGAGTTCCCAGGTGATGCGCATGCTGTGGTGCCTGGACCGCACTTTGAGAACCACTCCTCTGGGCCAGCGTCCTCCGTCTCCGAAGCACTCGGAGAGCAGCTGGAGAGCTCTGACAACCAGGACGGGGGTCCACCGCCGAGGCTCTGCTGTGATTGGTCTGGGGCATTGCCTGGGGGGAAGGGTTCTGGAAGTTCTCCTCCCATCATGTAATAATGTCCGGGTACAGCCAGGGCTGGGGTGTCCTGCTCCGTACCTTGCTGTGTCCCAATGTGTGAAGACGAAATGAGGCAGTGGGTGTCAAACGGCTCTGCCACAAATGCAGGTGTTAGTTCTCCTGGCCAGAACGCTGTCGGCGCAGAACCCAAATCAGATAGTGGAGTGCATGCCTGGGCCCTTACAAACGATTAAGACCAAATCAAGGCCAAAGAAAATGAATACCAGATGTCTGGGCGATGCTGAGGCCTTAAAAGTGTTTTTCATGTCTGACTTTGAGAAAATATTGGCCGGGATCAGATAAGAGGCAACTCCTGGGGCCAGCGGTGCCTTGTCCTAAGGTGCCCGCTGAGCTCAGGAGGTGCGGGCTGCAGGGCCCCAAGCAGGCACAGGCGTCCTCCAGCCCCGGCTTCAGCGGCTGACTGCTTTCCTTCTACTTGGAAAATGCCTGCTCCACGTTAGCCCACCTGTGACGGTGTCGCGGAGCAGCAGCTGTGGGAAGACGCTTCAGGAGTTCTGGTCCTGCTCACATAGGATGCTTGGCATTTGGCGATGCGGTTGGTGGAGTTAGAAACAAAACCAAAACCCACAAACACAACAAAACACCAAAACAACAATCCACCCCCCCCCCCACAACACCCAGTTAAACTTGAATTTCAGATATGCAATGAAAAATGTTTGGATAAGTATGTCCTATGCAACACTTGAGATATATTAATACTTATACTAAGAAATTACTGTCCGGTCGTGGTGGCTCACGCCTGTAATCCCAGCACTTTGGGAGGCCGAGGCAGGTGGATCACCTGAGGTCAGGAGTTCGAGACCAGCCTGGCGAACACAGTAGAACCCCCCATCTCTACTAAAAATACAAAAAATTAGCTGGGCGTGGTGGCGGGCGCCTGTAGTCCCAGTTACTCAGGGGCTAAGGCAGGAGAATCGCTTGAACCCAGGAGGCAGAGGTTGCAGTGAGCCGAGATCACGCCATTGTACTCCAGCCTGGGCAACTAGAGCGAAACTCCGCTTCAAAAAAAAATTACTCGTGGGTTCTCTGCATTCCAATTTTAGTGGGCATCTTGCGTGTTATCTCTACCCCTATTTGGGGAGGGCTTTATTTTCCTCAATGGCGTCCCCACATCAGGGCCTGTGTCTTGCACTCTCCCCCTGAGCGGGTAGCAGAGGCGTTATCACAGAAGGAAGGTTCTGGGGAGTTGAATCACAACAGGCCTCCGCCGCTAGCAGGGCGGGCGCGCCAGGGACTAGGCCGCTTGGCAGGTTCGCTTTTCTTCTTTCCATTGCGCTGAACTCAAGGAGGAGGAGGAAAGTGGGAGCTGCTGCACTCACGGCTGAGTGTGCATGGCTGGTAGGTGACAGCCTGAGGTCTGTTCGGTGACCCCGGCCCCTCGGAGGGCCCGCGGAGACTCAGAATTAGCTGCACTTACCACGGTGCCCGCGGGTCGGGGTGCGGATCCACACCCCAGAGGAAGGCCGCTCCCGGGCCGCGAGGACCTCGCTGGCGGCCGCTTGGGGGCAGCAGACGCCCGCCCTGCGGGGGAGGTGGGGCCTGCAGGCCGCGGGGCCGCTCTCGGAGCCCGGCAGGCCTGAGCAGGTCGGGGCGCGTGTTCCGGAAGCCCGGTCCCGGGCGCTGTGAGGGGCACCTGGGGACGCTCCGCGAGTCTGTGTCCCAGCCCTGAGCTCAGCGGAAGACTGCAGAGTCCTGGGCCCACGAGGTGGGTCTCCGCTCCGTCCGGACGCGGGCACGCTCCCAGTGTCTCTCGGGAAAAGTGACCTGGACTTCGTGCCGGGGAGAAGGCGCCGAGGCCGGGCCACGCCTGTCCGGGGAAGCCTGAACCGCCGCCCCGGGGTGTGCAGGGTGCGGGTGGGGGTGAAGTTCCGGAAGGTGAGGAGGGGCTCATGCTCGGTCAGATCTGACGGGGGTTAGGAAGGCAAAGAGTTATTTTTAAAACTCAAGAAAAAGAGAAATGAACTGCATTTCCTTTCTGTTTGGCTCCAATTCCGAGCCTGACTCTTCTGTTATGCACAGGGCTGCTCAGCAGACACTGAGGCTGGGTTTTGTTCCAGGGGACTGAGACCAAATATTAGTTCAGCGAGGGTGAGAAACATGCTCTGAGCAACGTTCATTCCTGCTGCAGTAAATCTGTGAGCGCCCGATGTGGGAAAAGCAGGCCCCGAGCCCCGCTGCCCAGGCGAGCCTCTAGGGTTTTCGCCTGTTTATGGACTTGCTGATACTTTTAATGTCGGGAAGCCCGGGGAGGGCAGGGCTGACACCCATGCAGCCTTTCTAACCTCTTGTGGAACTAGGCAAACAGTGTGAGCTTCCAGGAGTGTGTATTTGGGAGGGGACACATAGGCCCCCCACACATGACAAAATCCGTGTGCCTGCTTGTGTGTACTGTTTACATGGAGTGTGTGTGCGCACGTGCGTGTGTGGGTTGGTGTGCATTTCTAGACGGCAAGAAATTCTAGTAGAACTTTTGACTTTCATACAATTCTACAGCTATTCTTTTCCATCCGTCCCCTGTAACGATGACTTCAATGGGTCAGATACTCTTGAGCCTTTTCACCAACGATCTTTGCTCCAAATCTTCCCTCAGCTTCTCACTGCCTGCATCCTTCCTTCTGCGATTAGACTAGGATCTCAGTCTATTGCCAGAGGTCTGAGACTCTCCTCAGCCCAGCAGTTGTCAGAGAGACCATGGCGGGAGGGTATCGTAGCCTTCACTCCTTCTACTGCAGGTTTGAAACTCAGGCTGCCTTAAAGGTAAACCAAGATATCACACAGATGATAATAGTACGATAATAAACTCACATTTGTATGGTGAATTAGGATTTACAGTTTCCCTACATTTTTTTTCATTTAATCCCAGAACCAGAGCAACCAGAACGTGTGTGGTCCTCACGTGTTCCTCCATGAAGAGACTGATGGAGAATGAGGTTAGGTAGACAGCTAGAACAATTTTGGCCACCTCATTTTCTCAACTAATTTGAGATTTCTCTTCCAGACTGCTGGTGCCGAGAGATGGGTGGATCGGCAGGTCTTGTTAGCAAGGACAAAGGAAATCGTTACGTTATTGGCTTAGCTGTTATTTAAAATAAAAACATAAACATAATTAAAAATAAGCACTTTTTCCGGGGGCAGTGGCTCATGCCTGTATTCCCAGCACTTTCGGAGGCCGAGACCGAGGCAGGCAGATCACTTGACCTCAGGAGTTTGAGACCAGCCTGGCCAACATGGTGAAACCTCATCTCTACTAAAAATACAAAAATTAGCCCAGCGTGGTGGCGCATGCCTGTAGTCCCAGCTACTGGAGAGTCCGAGGCAGGAGAATTGCTTGAGCCCGGGAAGCGGAGGTTGCAGTGAGCCAAGATCATGCCACTGTACTCCAGTCTCAGGGAAAGAATGAGGCTATGGCAAAAAAAAAAAAAAAAAAAAAAAAAATATTGCCCTTTGGGTATGACTGTGTTTTCTCTACACACATGAACTGTGTCTTTGAAAGGACAACTTCCTTTTCCTGACTGTGCATCATCTGACCAAATTCCAAACTCCCGTAATTTAAGGAAATAATATACTTTGTGGAAAAATTAGAAAATATATATTAGCAAAGAAAGAATAAAGGCAAGCCGCGTGCAGTCCCATTACTCTGAGATGGCCGCTGTTGCTGGTGTGGTGGGCCTCATCCAGACTTTTCTCTATGCAAGCACAAACACACATGCTCAACTCAGTTTATTTTATTTTTCCAAAACGGAAGTCATGCTGTACATAATGTTTTGTAATCAAAAAATTTTTCTTTTTGATATATCATGAACATTTTGCCCATCATGAAATATCCTTTTAAATTGTATGCAATTCCACTGTAAACATGTGGGTTTATTTGACACCTTGATTGTTGGACATTTTATCTTGAATGCTTAGAATGGAAAAGAATTATCCCCGGATAGGAAGGTACTCTATCTTTTATTCTGAAGATGTTATTAACACAGATTTCTATGGGATGGCGTAATGGGCCTCTAGAGGGTGGGCCAGGGGTGGCGATGGCCCAGGGGATTCTCAGGGGAGGCTCTTTCCTCAGGAGCCCCAGGAGGCAGCTTTCTCTGCCTCCGTGGCATTTAGATCCATGGAGCATGTTCACCTGAGCGTGACCTACAAGCTTAAGGTATTAATCCATGTTCCTCCCACTCAGATTAATATCCGATGTGAAATTAGTAGGGAAAAAAAGATGTTCTCTGCGGCCCCTGAGCCCTTCCCAGCGGGAGGATGCAGAAGTTGGAGGAAGAGATAATGTTACCTCCCGCGGGCATTAGCTGCTTGTGGTTGGGAGGCATGCCTTTGATAATCAGCATCAGTATCTCTTTCATGTCACTGAACACAAAATGAGGCTGCATCAAAGAGCCTGTTTTAGAGAAGAAATTGTTGAACAGGCTTGACTGGGTTGAACGATACCAGAGGGGCAGGATCAGAGCGCAGGCTGGTCTTTCCGGGCCAGCCAGGGGCACTCACTGGCCTGACTGCAGCTCCAGCAGCTCAGAGGTTGTCACAGTGCACGCGGGTGCCTCCCCACTCGACCCTTCCATGTGCCTGGCAGCAAGGGGCATGAGTCACCTGGTGGCCAGGCGTTTGTTACTCTGAGCTTTTGAGCTGCTGCAGAACTCCAGTGACATAGCCTCCTGATTTTTTTTCCCTCCTGTTTAATACTGACGTTTTTCTTAATGCCAGCCTGCTAGTAGATACTTGTTCTTCTTCTGACACATTTGGGCATCCAGCAAAAGCTTGGAAAAGAACAGCTTTTTGTTTGCTTGCCTTCAGGAATCTGGTTCAGTGAGCACTCCAGATATGGAAGGGTTTTAGAATGATTCACAGTTTTCTTTGCTGGCCTTCAGGGGAACGTGACCTGCTTAGGTTCAATTTTGTGCATGTGTGACATAGTTTTCCCTTCAGTAATACAGACAAACCCTGATTCTAACCCCCAGTCGAACCCACTGGTCTTTTCCTGATCTTTTTGCATTGCTAGCATTATTTGGTCTTAATGGAGTTAAATTTTTAAAAAATGTTATCACTATGTAAAGAAAAGAAAACTCTTACAAAGAGTTTTGTATGAGAATGAAAACACATGATGTGTTTTAAACATTGGAATCCCAGAAGGAAGAAACAAGGTAGTGTTTTCAGTTATTTCCACTGAAGGAGTCTAAACAGGATAGATAGTCATATTTTAAAATCCTCAACCATTGTTTAGGACCAAGTCAAAAATTTTACAATAGCTTTTGAATGGAGAAATGCAAGGCTCAAAACCACTGGGTAAAGTTGGAGGAGGATTGCCTGTTCTCCCCGGAATGCTTTTGCTGGTTTTGGTTCTCTTTGGTTAGATCTCACTGGTCTCATTCCTTCTTTCACTTTTAATCGGACTGCATCACCCAGGCAGAAAACTCAGTCCCAGAAAGGATCGGAGTGGTATGGCAAATCTGAGATCGGATGGAGGCAGGAAACCATGGTGACCTCTTAGGATGGAATGAGCTTTGAAGAACAGTGCTGCCATCCTGATCCAGGTACCAGGAGACGGACGGCCCCGTAGGAGTGATGTGCATTGGTGAATCCCGATGCAGACTTTTTTTTTTTTTGAGAGACAGGGACTCACTCTGTCACCCAGGGTGGAATGCAGTGGCGCGATCATAGCTCACTGCAGCCTCTACCTCCTGGGCTCAAGCGATCCTCCTACCTCAGCCTTCCAAGTAGCTGAGACCACAGGCACACACAACCACATCCAGCTAATTTTTAAATTTTTGTAGAGATGGGGTCTCACTATGTTGCCCAGGTTGGTCTTGAACTTGTGGGCTCAAGCGATCCTCTGCCTCAGCCTCCCAAATTGCTGGCATTATAGGCATGAGCCACTGTGCCCAGCGAGCCATACATTTTCTTTATTTGGATAGAAGGGCTGAACTTTTTTTGGAGGTGTGGTGTTGAAGAGTTGTTGGGGGAACAGTGTGGCCAGTACATTGCAGGGTGCTGAGGATGTTGTCTGTTGTGATCCATACCTTGCAGTCAGGAGTAACAAGTATCGAAATTGGGCCACTGTCAAAAGAGTCTATGCTTTGGTCAATATAGGGTGAACAGCCTTACTAAGTAACTAACCTAGTCAAAATTATTACAAGCAAGTTCCAAGTGAGCCAGCTCAGGCTACCTGGTGATGGGAGGACTTTGTTAACCTCTGTGAGACCCACAGCCTGGGCCAGTCCACACATGGATTTGCTTTCCACAGGGCTTCCCAGCTGGCCTGGCACCTCCTCCTCACACTGAGAAGCTCAGGCTCCTCACTGGGCCCAAGCTTTTGGAGTTCAGGCCCTGCGTGGCATCCCTTGTGTCCCTGTGCTTGGTAAAAGGCCTGCATGGTTTTGGGTGAATCCATGAAGTCGGGCCCCAGCAGACTCTGGCAGTGGCGTTCTCGGTTTCCTTCCATCCCTGTGTTGCTCCTTCATCAAGGAAAACCCAACCAACCAGGAGAGCAAAATCTTTAATCCTAAACTCCCATGAATCAGTTTGAAACTGAACCGTATATTTTTAATTTATTGAATTGGAAAAAATAAGGGCATCAGAATGTTTTAAATTCAGCAGATTTCCATTTTGTTTGGCTTCCTGGTGACCCATAGAATGACTAATAAGATGATTAAAGAGGCTGGGTGTGGTGGCTCACACCTGTAATCCCAGCACTTTGGGAGG